CCTTTTTCTAAAAATTCATTTGTTAGCACTATTGCTGTTGGCTCTTTCAAATTTAAATCGCCTATACCAAATTATTTATAACTTTTGGCAGTTCTATTTTTAAACCCCCAAAGAGCTGAACCTTAGTAATAGACACATGATTACCTACAATTTCAATTATGTAACACTTTATACTTTGGATTCATATTTTATGCAAATATTTTTTATTAAAAAAATGATTCTCCCTCCCATTTCCTCCTGCGCCTGCCTTCAGGTACTCCGAATTTAGTTTCATTCTTTCAGTAGAGGAATTATATGAAGAAAGCTTTCCTTTAATAAAGAAAATAGGGTAACCGAAGCCATTATATTGGCAATTCAGTTGAAAAATTCTGCAAGTATACAAGGTTATTTGAACATCAATTAAAATATTAGTCTCGACTTACTTAGACAATTATTCGACTTTCCACTTTATTCAGTTTGTCACCTGTCAACATTTGGCTAGGGATCTCTGACTTGACAACAGGCTCCCCCCCCCCACATGCATGTGTATGTATATATTTGCCTAATTTATCATTTTTGCATAGGCATCTAGTTTCAGATTACCTGGAAGCTCAAGCCTTTCTTACTCAAACAAGAATTTAAGTAGAGATAAGGGCATAATGACATTGACCCCAGGTGGTGATACAGGGCAGCCACACTTTCAGCACTAGAGGCTGCTGTGCAGAAGCCTAAGTTGCCTGAGAGAGACTTCACTCTAACTGACCGGTTAAAAAATATTCTAGCATTTTGCTTCATGTATCAGATTTTTCTCAGAGATGAGAGGCATAATAAGTTTTGTTGGTTTAGAGGCTATCTAACTGCTTTAAATCAATACAGTGTCTTCCCTGAGTCTTTAGGATGTGCTGAGTGGGTTAATAAACAGAAATCAGAATAAGTGGATACCTGCAAAAATGCCACAGTAGTAAAAAAAAAAAAAGCTTAAAAATTATAATGAATAAAAGAGAAAAGATTCCTGGTACCTAGTAAAATTTCAAAAACTGTCCAATAAATGAAGAAATAAAAAAGGCTGAAGCTTGAGGCACTAAGATAATCAGATAATTAGAGCCCAAAGACACAGAAGTACTGAGGGAGGTGTAGTATAATTATAAATTGTTGATAATACTTAACATTAATCGTCAGGAATGGGTTAGAAAGTGAGGTCAGTAAGCCACTGTCATTTAGGGAAACTTCTGGTTGTTTAATTATTGACAAAATGGAGATTTAAATATTTGCCCTCAAGTCCAAGAGTTGTTAAAAATATTACCAGTATGAAAGCATAAAAAGTTAAAGTCCTATGCAAAATGTATTAGATATGTTTATGCTACCATCTTTTGTTTATATGTCTTATTTTAAAACTGGAAGAGACTCCCTGTGCATCCACATTCATTTTTATATTTCTAACCTTAGGTAAAAAAAAAAAACTAATTACAAAATATTTTACACTTGTTACTGCCTGTTGAAGTTCTCCCTTATTTCAAGGGAGTAAGCTTGATGTGTGCTGTATTATAGGGGAGGCCTCATTGATTAGGTGACGTGAGCAGAGAGATGAAAGAACAGAAGAAGTAAGCTTTGTGGATATTTGAGGAAAGAATGTTTAGGTAGAAGAGCAAAAATAGAGGCCCTTGGGTAGGAGAGTTCTTGATATATTGAGAAAGAGCAGAGACCACTGTGGCTGGAGTACAGTGAGCAAGAGGAGAGGTGTAAGAGCTGAAATCGGAGAGGCAGGCTTCTGCTGAGAGGGATGGGGAGTCACTGGAGGATTTAAAGTGAGTGACATTTCTGACTTGCGATCTTTCTGGCCGCTGTGTTTGAAAATGCCTGCAGGAGGGCGAAGGGGACAGCGTGTAAACTAGTAGGAGGTTTTTGCCATAATGCAGGGGGTACATGATGGTTGCTGGGCCAGGGAGGCAGCGCTGGAGGTGGTGAGAAGTGATAGGATTCTGTATATAATTTGATGTTAGAGCCAACAAGATTTACTGCCAGATTAGATGTGGAGAATTAGGGAAGAAGAATAAAGATGACTCCAGTGATACAGGCTTGAACGATTGAAAGGACCAGAGATGAGCATTGTGGAAGAAATAGGTTGGGGGTGGTGACTAAGACCTGAAGTTCAGTTTTACAAATTAAATTTGAGATGCTTATTAGACATCAAAATGGAAATGTTGACTATACAGTTAGATGTGAGTCTGTAATTCTGGGAAAGGGCTGAGCTATATAGCTATAAATTTGGGAGTCTTGAGAGTCCTGACAGTGTTTGAAGCCAGGGGAATGGATAAGGTTACCTAAGGAGTACAAATAGAAAGTCTCCAGAAGTTTAGGGGCTTGAGGGTAGAGGGGGACCAGTACAAGTGACTGAGGGCGTCCGAGATGTAGGGAGAGGACTGGAAAGACAGTGCTGACCTGGAAGCAGTGGTGTGCTGGAACGGCTCCTGCCAGCTTGCAAGAGCCTATTGTAACATCTTCAATGAATTTTTAAGCTGCTTTGAAACATGGCCATTTAAAAATTGAATTACATAAATGTACATTAAAGTAACTGTATTAAAAGTAACACTCAAAACTCACCACTTCCTAGTTATTATTTTTTTTTTACCTTGTATGCTTTTATTTACATCTGTTTATCTGTGTGGCGGAAAAGCTAGGTAATGGTGTGCTGCTATGTGTCTCTTCCCAAGTCCACAGTCAGTGATGTCATGTTGGTACCTCGAGACGGGCCCTGGTGGGAATGTTTACACCTTGGAAATTGCAAATGCTACACATCAGGGCTTGATTTTTTGTTTTGCTGATGAGAAAGTGATAAATAAAATGTTAATAATGAAAATACAAGTTAAAAGCATATTATTTCTCTCATATGTGGAATCTAATGAACAAACTGAATTAACAAGCCAAACAGACAGACTCACAGATAAAGAACAGATGACAGCTAGTGGGGTGAGGAGGGGATGTTAGGTGGTGGAGGGAGTGAGCAAAAAGGAAAAAGGACTCTTGGACATGGACAACAGTGTGGTCATTGCTGGGGGGAGGAGGGTATAAGGGGACTAAATGGTAATGGTAAAATGTAATAAAGGTTATAGTATTTAAAAAAGCATACTATGTCTGTAGCTATTCCATTGTGATTAGCAGAGAAATTAAAAAACTCTTTGTCCATTATTGAATAATTATTTGATTCAGCAAAGCAGCCATATCATTGACAAGGGAGGGAGTGAAGGTTTATCTCTTAAGCCGTCTTTGTTGTTTCATCTCCGTCATGCTCATTCATGTGATAGAAAAAAATCAGTCACCATTCACGTTGGGACTACTCATTCATCGATTACAATGCTAAATTGGCTATGATTTTATGATTTTGGCAAAATCAATAAAAATGTATAAATCATAAAACCAGGAAAATTACTGATGTAATATTTAAGCCTCTGGTCACTTTGGCTGTTGCCGTTTTCTTCAGAAACTTGCTAAATGTAGTTTTACAATACACAAGTTGGTGATAAACACAGTTGTTCACTGGTTAAGATGAGTCTCGCCCTTAGGTCCGAGGTAATTTCAGGTCTGAGTAAATCAGTTACTGTATTTTATATTCCCTGTGATACATTAGTATTGTTTAGTTAAAAATGCCGGGGGGGGGGGGGGCCATGGGTGTGGGTGGTGCGGTTTTTTTTTTTTTTTTTTTTTAAAATTAAATCTGTGACTTGACATTCTCCAAATAGATCTTCATGTTGGAACAATGAAGTTGAATCTTCTCACTTCCCCCACCAAAAAAGAATTCTCACTACACACATCAGCATTGTCACTCTGGTGACTTTTTCAAGGATATTTTGTCTTGTGGGGGATAAAGGCATATATTCCAGAAACCATTATATGGCAGTATGTATTAAGAATGCCTAGAGTTATTTGTGTTTGTAAAATGGTTTGGAAGAAGGGTGGTGGTGATTAATTTTAACTGAGATAGCTTTATGCAAGAGAGACCATTTGAGTTAGCTGTAAATGAGTTGGGTTTTCAGTTGATTTGTTGACTGCTTTCTCTCTCTCTCTGTATATATATATATAATATTTATTTATTTATTTTTAGAGAGAGAAAGAGAGGGAGAAGAGAGGGAAAGAAACCTTGAAGTGTGGTTGCCTCTCTTGCAGACCCTACTGGGGACCTGTCCCACAACCCAGCCATGTGCCCTATACTGGGAATTGAACCAGCAGCCCTTTGGTTCGCAGGCCTGGAGCTCAATCCACTGAACCACACCAGCTAGGGCTGCTTTCTATATTTTAGATATTGTGCTAAGTATTGTGTAATTTAATGTGATTACTTCTGAGGGAACTGAAGTTCAGAGGGGTTTAGAGACTTGTTAAAGATCACACACAGCTACTAAGTAGAGTGAGGCGCAGATCTAGCTGACAGCAAACCCTTTCCAATATAGCACACAGATTCTAGAAAGAGTGGAATGTGAGAGCATATTCCCATACAGGAAGCAGTAGAAACAAAGAAAAGTACAAAGGTAAGAAAAAGGAGGGAGAAAGGGAAGGAAAAAGGGAGAAATCCAATGTGACTTGGGCATTGTGTGTGTGTATAAAAGACAGTGGAATTTATAGTGGGAAATATGGCTGAAAATATGGGTGGTAGAAAGATCATGGGAGGGAGGCCTTGAAGGTCAAGTTAAGAAATTTGGCCACCTCTTGTAGGAAGCCATCAATTTTAAGATAATTATTCTGGCAATGGAGAATTATATCTGTTGCCAGCATTGCACTTGGGACCTTTGTTTTATTTGTTTCTAGTTACAGAGTCTTTTGGAAGGCAGGACTATAGAAATAAAGTAGGTTATTAAAATTAAAAGTTAAGTGTAATTCTCAATTTCATGTAGTAGTTTATGGAATTTGTAATTATTTTATTAAATTTTTTTTTTGCCATAAAAATAGGAATACAACTATAAAATTGTTAAATGTAAGCTTACTATTTTTCTAAGACCATAAGATAGAATTTTAAAAATCATGTTTTTCAGATACTGACCGAGCTTTGTCATTACTAGAAGAATACTGCAAAAAATTAAAGAAACCAGAGGAGCAGCAGTTGAAAAATGCTGTTAAAAAGGTGATGGGCATCTTTAGGAGCACCTTATTCCAAGCTTTGCTAGGTATGTATTAAAAAGTATGTAGTATCTTAATGGTAAGAATTGGGCCTGGTAGTCTGAGAAATGTGGTCAAGGAACCTGATGTGAACCAAATTTAAGAGTGGAATAATCTTTTTTGATAGTAAAAGAAAAGGTTTGGGTTCTTTTTCTTATTTAAAGTTAACCTACAAAAGAACTGTTAAAGAGTAGAAATAAAGTGTAGAAATTAAAAATATAAATATTGAAAGAATGACTTGTATAGGAAAGAAAACTTACGCAGGAGCAAACCTGACTTGGGTGTTGTTAGAGAAGGGAGTTGCCCGGCACAAAACACAAAGGGGCACATTTGACTCAGAATGAAGTCCTACTTTCACTTGCTTCTTAAAACAAAAAATTAAAGTATTCTCTTCTTCTTTTTTGCTTCCCTTATGAAAGTTTATGACCCAAATAAAAAGATTTCATGATGACAATCTCAGCGCTTTGGAATTTTTGTCCATTTGTCAGGAATCTAACTATATAAAGTTTAAGTTTGTATTTATTTTCTAATCTAGTAAAGATTTTCTTAACAATCTTTAATAATCAAGGATATAGTTTATTTATCTATGACAATATACATATATTTTTTGCATTTATGCAGGTAACTTAATTCTTTTTAATGGTATTTTAAGAGTTAAAGTAGCAAAAAGATATCAGCAAACATTTCCTCTCAACAAAAACAACCAACTAATGAAATAATTTAAAAAACCCACTTAATTATACTATATATTTTACTGGCCTTAAATACTGCATTTTAAAGAAATAGCGGACGACTTCTGCCAAGATGGAGGCGTAGGTGGAAGCACTGTGCCTTCTCACACAACCAAGTTTAAAAACAACAAAGTTTTAGCAACAAAAATGCAGCCAAACCACAGAAAATTGAACTACATGGAAGTCTGACAACAAAGAACCCTTCAGCCAAACCGATAAACTGGTGAAGGAGCTAGTGGTGGTGAGACAGACCGCACAGGCCCCAGTGGCGGGAAGCGGCAGAGGAGACCGCTATTGTCCCTCTCTGATCCCACCCCCACATACAGCGTCACAAACCAGTGACCTGGGTGGCCCCTCCCTGACCATGCCCCCACAGACAGGGTCACAACCCAGTGACCTGGGTGGCCCTGCCCTGATGAACAACTAAGGGTCTGCTCCTCATACCTAACAGGCATGAACAGATCAAAAGATGGCTCAAGAACAACTCAGAGCCCCAGAGCCCATAAATCTAAGCAATGAAGAAATAGCCAAATTTTCAGATGCACAGTTCAAAACACTGGTGATCAGGATGCTCACAGAACTGGTGGATTTTAGTCACAAATTAGAGGAACATACGGAAGCTAAACTAATTGAAATGAAGGGAAATACACAGGAAACCAATAGTAATGGAAAGGAAACTGGACTTACATCAAAGGAGTGGACCATAAGGAGGAAAAAAAATGACCAAACAGAAAAGGATGAAGAAACAAGAATTCAAAAAAAGGAGGAGAGGCTTAGGAACCTCCAGGACATCTTTAAATGTTCCAACATCCGAATTATAGGGGTACCAGAAGGGGAAGAAGAACAGCAACAAGTGGATAATTTATTTGAACAAATAATAAAGGAGAACTTCCCCACCTGGCAAAGGAAATAGACTTCCAGGAAATCCAGGAAGCTCAGAGAGTCCCAAAGAAGTTGGACCCAAGAAGGAACACACCAAGGCACATCATAATTCCATTAGCCAAGATTAAAATGAAGGAAAGAATCCTAGAAGCAGCAAGAGATAAGGGGACAGTCACCTACAAAGGAGTTCCCATCAGACTGTCAGCAGATTTCTCAAAAGAGACCTGACAGGCAAGAAGGGGCTGGAAAGAAGTATTCCAAGTCATGAAATCCAAAGACCTACATCCAAGATTGATCTATCCAGAAAAGCTTTCATTTAGAATGGAAGCAGATAAAGTGCTTCTCAGATAAGATCAAATTCAAGGAGTTCATCATCACCAAGCCCTTATTATATGAAATGTTAAAGGGACTTACCTAAGAAAAAGAAGATAAAAAAGATGAACAGTGAAAGGACAGCAAACTCACAGTTATTAACAACCACACTTAAAATAAAAGCAAACAAAGCTAGATAAAGAGCAGAACCATAGAAATGAAGATCAAATGGAGAGTTAGCAACAGGGGAGTGGAGGAAGGAGAAGGGGGGAGAAGGTACAGAAAATAAGTAGCATAGATGGTAGGTAGAAAATAGATAGGGGGAGGGCAAGAATAGTATGGGAAATACAGAATCTAAAGAACTTGAGACACGTGGTCATAAACTAAAGGGGGGGAACGATGGAGGAGGGGGTGTGCAGGGTGGAGGGGAATGAAGGGGGGAAATAGAACAACTGTAATGGCATAATTAATAAAATATATTTAAAAAATAAAAGAAACAATTAAAAAAGAAATAATGGAGTCTACTAGATGTTGTTATTGCATTTTTAAATTCTCATAGTTATTGATATAAAAATATAAAAATGGGAATTATGAGAATTAACCTTGAAAATATTTCACCTGTTTTTATTGATATGTTTACACTCACTAAAAAAGCTCCAACTTTTTCTGAATATAATTTTAAACATCATTACACTTTGAAAATTTGAAAATCAGTTTGTTGAATAAAAACAAAAGAAAAAGCTTTATAGGATTATTTTGCTTGTGGATTAAGTTCTTTAAAGTATTCTCTTGTGGCTGGTAAGAATTAACAACACAAATAACTATAATCATCTTAGTTGGTATTAAATAGAAAACAACTCTAAATGGACTCTTTCAGAATTTAAATAAATCCTGTCATTAGATAATACAGTTGACAACATTTTAAGCCACAAATTTCTCAATTAATTGTTTCATCCTATTTGTAATTAGTGAAGTTGATTAACTGAACAACAATATCTGTCAATAAGTTTGTGTGTTATGTGTAGTTAAGACTAGCTAAGTCTTTTGAGAGTTTCAGTTTTTGAACTTGATTTAGGAAGAGTGTTGTTATCTACTACATTTTGGTAATATAACCATTCAGTACAGCAACACTAATAAATACACAGGGAATAAAATGACAAGTGAGTGACAAAGCATTTCATTTTGTAATTGTTTTGACTGAGTGGTGAATATATTGGCAAATAGCCTACATCGTAGTTTGAATGTCTGTAAAAAATGAGAGGCAACAATAATCTGTAAAAAGCTGTTATGTAAGTAATCCTGGTGCCCAGCTTTGAATGGATGGATTTGCTTTGGCTGGTTTTTAAAAGTCATTTTGGGATAAACTAGACTGCAAAAAATGGAGCAACATTAGACAAAATAATAATTTTCTATTCAAGTCTATGTGGGTTGCTAAGTACTGATTACGAATGTATTGTTATTGAATGTTTGAGTGGTCTCACTGTGTATTGTCTTTAAGGACACAAAAAAAAGAAAAACTGCATAGCCCTGTGCATCCTGAAGGGGATCAAAGCTTTATAAAAGGATAAGGAGGGAGCCATTGGTAACTATAACATTGTTAATGGCCTATAACTTGTTTTCTGTTTCAACCAACTCCTCCCCTCTGCCTTCTTGTTATTGTTCTTGGTACAAGTAAGGGAAAGACAGCGGCTTCATCCATTGTTCTGATATTTAGCTAGCCAGTACATTGAAATAATAACTTGCATGAATGTCAATTAAGTGTAGAAATAGAAGAGAGAATCATAATGCATAACACCCAACACAGATGAGCAGTGAAGTGAAACACTGCTATTGCAGAATGGGCCGCAACGCTTGCATGTGACCAGGAAACCAAGACTCTACAGGTGAAAAATAATCCCTTTGAAAACAAATACTATCTTCCTTTTGTGGTCCTTCATCCTGCTTTCAAAAACTCCACCAAAGGCTAATATGTTTAGGTGCTATAATCTTTGAGGACGGAATTCTGTTTGTATAACTTTGGTTACCATTATAGTGCATAACAGCACTTTATAAATGAGGTTCTCTTATAATAGGTAGAAGGTGATAGCAAAAATATTGATTTTTTAATTTTTAAAGTATAATTTTTATCTGATTACAAAAGTAATATATGCTAATTCTGGAAAATTTGAAAAATAAATAAAGTAAGAAAGTAATATCTGTGGTAAAGTGAATTGCTTTTTACTGTGAAAGCTGGATATATGGAAAGCATAGAGAATGCCTAACTGTTTAACTTTCTTCCTCTTTGCTTCAAGAGTCCCCGTATTTAGTTTTTATTTTCCATTTACTAATAATTGGCAGTGGAAAAAGACACGAAGTTTTTAAAAGTTAGTCATTAGTGTTTATTGGTATATAAAAAATGCCTGACACTGCAATGTGCCAAAAGCTGTACACTTAGATGCTAGGCTTAGGGTGACATCTTGTGGTCATACTAAGGAAAAAGTTTTGTCCAGTGGATCAGTTTTTCGGTGATGATTTCATTAACACTGTGCAGAATTTGAATAGAAGTGGATTGACATTCCACAATATTTTACAAATTAATTTAGGTTTATTTAGTATTGCTAGAACATTTTGTTTTTTTAAGACACTAAGGTTATTTATTCTTCAATTAGATGCTGAAGGACCAAGACGAACTTTTAAAAACATTATTGTTTACTTCTCTTTCAGATATTTTGAAAATTAAAAATTCTCTTTATAGTGTTTGAGGTGGACTATTCTGGAAAGATTTGGATAGTAAAGTGATACTTTCCTTGAAACCCTGCTAGGAGCAGCATCTTAGAAAAGTGCTATTCTACTTTAGACTTGCATGTCGGATTTTGTATTAGAGTAGAATACTTTTTATTTCCATGAAGCTTAATACAGAATCCTATGCATACTTGAGATTACTAGCAATGTGGATGAGACATTAGACAGACCACATATTGGGGTTTATCACCTCCTGTGGAAGCCTCTACCATGTCCCTACCTGCTGTCAGCTTTAAGTAGCCCTTTTATTATGTGTCTCAGTGTTTTGTTTACATTACTATAAAGCACTGATTACATTGCCT